TCGACAGGCAGCGCGATAAGGGCAAAGTGAAGCTGCCCCCAGCAAAGAAGGTGACCGTCCCCACCCGGCCGCAGAGGCCGAGGGCGTCCCAGGAGGAGCCCAAACAGGTGAGTCGGCTGGAGGGGGGGAGGGGGAGGCCTGGAGGTCACTCTGCTGCCCCTGTGCCCTCCCTGACCTGGCACACACTCTCAGGGGCTGGTTGTTGGAATTCAACCGCACTCTGTTTCTAGTCCTCAATGAGGAGCAGATAGATAGGACTAAGCTAGGCCGAGGGAATCCCTTATTTCCCCCTCAATTCCTGAACGTCTGTTGTTGTTGTTGTTCTTGTTTCCTCTCGCTTTCTGTTCTTCCTTCTTCCATCCTAACTGATGACGGAAAATGAAACTTCTTCGGGATGCATGTTGTTTGTTTGTGACCTTGTGGCCATTCCTTCCTTCACCTCCTTTCAGTCTGTGCCTCTCTCTAGTTGTGTCTCAATGGGGAAAAAGTCATCTTTGGAGGTTTTGTCCTTTTGTTTGAACTTAGGGAAGTCGTGGAGTGAGAGAGAAAGCTGAGGGCCAGTCAGTTGAATGCGCTGTAGGCAAACTTGGGCCTTCCGGGTGGTTTGGACTACAACTCCCACAATTCCTAACAGCCTCAGGCCCTTTCCCTTTCTCACCACTGACACCCTAACTAATACATCAGGATGGCTCTCCTACATGCAGTAGCTCTGGGAATTCATGCCTAGCTTCATTTACAAAACATGACAGCGTGTTGTGTGAACTAAATGATAGTTTGTCCTAAACAAAATCCTGAATGTTCTTTTCTCCTTAACCAAAAGTGTTTGCTAAGTTAAGGTCTCAGTGTGAGGAAGGACTCAGTGTGAGGAAGGACTCAGTGTGAAAAGGAAGGGGTCTGAAACTGCTAGGAATGGTGGGAGTTGAAGCCCAAAACACCCAGAGAGAAGTGTTGGTCTGAGAGAGGCCTCAGTGTGAGGAAGGCCTCAGTATGAGAAGGCCTCAATGTGAAAAGGAAGGGGCCCAAAACACCCGGAGAGAAGTGTTGGTCTGAGAGAGGTCTCAGTGTGAGGAAGGCCTCATTGTGAAAAGGAAGGGGCCCAAAACACCTGGAGAGAAATGTTGGTCTGAGAGAGGCCTCAGTGTGAGGAAGGCCTCAGTATGAGAAGGCCTCGGTGTGAAAAGGAACGTGTCTGAAACTGCTAGGAATGGTGGGAGTTGAAGCCCAAAACATCCGGAGAATAGTGTTGGTCTGAGAGAGGCCTCAGTGTGAGGAAGGCCTCATTTTGAGAAGGCCTCAATGTGAAAAGGAAGGGGCCCAAAACACCC